TAGTTTTAAGAAGAAAACAGAAAGCTATAAATCTTAAGAGACTGCAAGTATAGAGTAGGGAGGTCAACAACATTTATAAAGAGCACTATCTTAAGCAGCTGTCCATTAATAAGCTTCCAAGCATATCGCTTGGCAGACACATTTACAATACAAAGAGCCCGCTAAGGCTTTTATTTCAATTACTGTGAAGATTCTCCAGGGTGACTCAGGTGTCCAGGATGAAAGGCTACTGTAGTTAGTCAATACATTTTCTACTACTAATTTTCCCTACTAATAATACTGAAGTACATTCTTTAATTGTTTAAGGTTTCAAGATCTTAAAAAGGGTAAAGATGTTAGACTTCACAATCAAGCAAAACCCTAGGGCACAGGAGAGTCCTCACTGTAGAAACTCGGCAAGAGTTACTGAGATGATGTGTAACATCTATACTGACTTTTACCAGAACACAGCTGAAATGGCTCTTGCATGTTAATATTGAAAGTAAGCTTCTCCGCTAACTGGCTCAAACTTGCCCCATGACTCTTATAGCTGGGCTTTCAGCATAGTTTTATTGTTCAAGAAATCTAGCTCATTCATTTTGAAAGGGACATTGAAAAGTCCCCACCCTGCAAGAAAACTATTTTTCAGAGGAGTTAACTTAGAGCTACAAAAAATAAAAGGTCAGTCATGAACTCACAGGAAGAGTAATAGTCTGACCTACTGCTCTTTACAAACTGCTGATTTCCTTCTGCTTTGCTTTAAAAAAAAAAAAGGAAAAGGATATTTGCATTTCTTTCTTTATGTGTTTGTTTTTGAGCTTTGACAGTTCACATAATCAAAAGACTTCTGTCCTAAACAAGTGATTGTCAAAGCCCATTTATACTGAAAGAAAACAATTATTAATCTCTGCAATTTGTTGCTGTTTAATAACCATGCATATCAGAAATACAGAATTCTTAGTCCATCACTCTACCCACTTCTCTTCACATTATGTACATTTTTTATGAGAAAAGGAAAGAGTTTGGTTTTATAAATATGTTCATGAAGGAAGTGACTCAAAATCTAGAGCTTGGAAAAATACTCAGGATTTCTTTTTCCTGACTTCAGGATTTAAACATCTTTTTCTCCTCTCAAAAACATAATTTTTGAACTAATTTTAAAATGTCCAAAAGGGTTATGACATGTATTGGCCCAGTTTCTTATTGTACTAGGATGATTTTCAATGTTCTTCTCCAATTATACCAGTGGTGTTTATCTTTAAAACAGTAGTAAGCTAGAAACCCTGTAAAGATAGAGGTAGTAACACACTTACATTTTAACAAAATCATGTGTATCTTCTAAAATCAATCACTATGAAATCTTTATCTTGCCTTCAGGAAGCATAAGTTTAGAATTAGTATTCCCAAGTAATTATATTTAAAGTGAAGACAAATGGGTTCCTGCAAATTGCCGTCCAACATCAATGAATGTGATATATAATCCCATCTTTAGAGCTGGCAGAAAATACAACTAGATTAATGAATATAAAAACTGACATGTCTGAGAGCCATGATAAACAGGATATATTCTTACCTTAAAATGTATGTTTTCTGGTCACTAATGGTATTGTTAATTGTTTAAGCCATATATATTTTGCCTCTGTCATCTTGCATATCTAAGACAATGCTGCTTTATTTTCAGAATGTTCACTATTTTTAATTCAATATTGTTCCCCAAGATTTCTATTTGATGACTCCATACAGTTCTCTTTATGTATGTGAAGCACATTACCATGAAATTAGTGTTGTCATCCACCCAGGTACCCGTCCCTGGCTCACCATCTTTATGGGCCCTAGTGAACCACAAAGACCTAGGTAGTTGAGAATCAATTTCATAGTTCAAAGTTTTTTCAGAACCCCTCCAAAAATAAAAGGTATCAGCTGTAAGAGCATCAAGAACTCATTGCATTAAAAACAAGAGTAAAATACATAGTAAAAGACAAATATCTTTTTCAGGTAATGCAAATAAATTACAAGTGGTGGGCAAAGGAAAGACTTGACGGCACAGCCTGGAACTTCTACCAGAGCATCAACATTAAATTCCAAAGGAGAGTAACAGCATTGAATCAGCATCCAGGATTTTACACCAGCTTGACACTACAGTAGGGGGTGTGGGGGTGGAGGATTTGACTGAAGTTGCTGTGAAGTGTGTCTAACTGATAGAGGCAAGTGAAGCTGGATCTCACAATAGCAATCATTTCCTTTCAGCCAACTTTTAGCCTCTGGCTTTAGCCTTTTCTACCTCCTGCTCAACAGTTGTCCTGTGCACTCTTCCCTAGATCAATGCTTACAACCTACTGAATATATTTCTGAATCCATTCTTATGAAATCACAAGTAGATAGGCTGGGTAGGTAGGAGGTTTGACCATTGCTTTGTCAACCAAATGTATTATATACATTTGTCTACACCTGTATGTCTTGCTTAATAAGGCACTTTAGAACCCCCATGACATAGATCTAATTCATTCTTCTCAATAGCTGAATAATATTTTATGTTATTGATATACCACAATTCATCCAATCATTCTTTTACCAATGGGTATTCCCTTTGTTTGTTCATTTACTACTGCAAACAATTCATTGAAGCAACAGGTCTTTATTAAATGCCCTCTAGTACCTAATCAACTCTAGCAATAGAGCAACAATTATAAGTCCCCCATCAGAGAAGATCCATTCTTGTGGAGGGGATAGATAATCATTCATTATGTAACATAATGTTATATTTTTATGAAGTTAAGTAAGGCAATAGCAATGGGATTGGGGGAGAGGACTTGATAATATGGGTGAATGTTGTAAACACAATGTTGCTCATGTGACATCTTTATAAAATTGTATATCAATGACACCTTAATAAAAAAAATAATAAGGCAATAGAAAGTCAGAAGAAATTATGTATTACTTAAATGAGGTGGTAAGAGAGGACCCTCTGAGGAGATAATTAATGAGAAACTGTAATGACTTAGAGAGTAAGCCATGAGGAGTGTTCAGAGAAGAGAGATCTAGCCAGAAGGAAGAGCATACACGAGGAACACCAAGAGACAGGCAGGGAAAGGGGCCGAGGGATATCCCGCCCAGGGCCTGATGGAGTAGGGTGTGATAGGCTGAGGTAGACACTTCAGAAAACTGCCACAGTGCATATCCACAGATACTGTGACCTTGGCCTCCAAAAGGGCTATCACAGTTCGCATTTCTACAATCGATCTGAGTATACTTTCCCCCTATACTAGGTGCCATTATTTTCTAATTTTTAATAATTTGATAGATAAAAAGTCATATCTAATTATTTTTATTTTCCTTTCCATGAAGGCTAGGGAGGTTAAACATTTACTTATTTTTATTTATTTTATTTATTTATATAAATGCTGACTTTCAATTATAATAAAGTAATACACATAAAACACAGAAGTACTATGTGACATGCACTTTTCATAAATTATTTAATTTAACAACCCAGTGTGGTAGAAACCATTGTTTTGCAGAAGAGGGAACTAAGCCAGTTAGCTGTTAGGTGACATGCCTAAGGTCACATAACTAGTCAGCAATGGTTTAACTAAACATTGGCAACTGGGCCCCAGAGTCTGTACAGCTATTTGAGTTTGCTATTCTATAAAATCTACTAAAATCTACACACAACCTGGAAAGGTATTGGGGAATGAAATATTTGTATATAGAACTATATAAATGCAAACTAATTAGCTTATCATGTCTGTTAAACTCAAAGAGAGGTCTGGATATGAGATCCACCAGTGAGAAATGGGACATTTTCACAGTAGGAAAAAAAAATCCCATCTCTGGTTGAGAATAAAATGAAATTCTGGGGCAATCTCATATCCATTATCCCCTGGAATAATAGTTGCCAGAGCCAGAACTGGACACTTCAAATTGGCACAGAGCTATTGGACAGGATAAGTTGCTAAAAAGCCCAACATGTATCAACATGATATAATTTGCTAGGTTGGAAGGAAATGGTTTTGTAAATATACCAAAATGCTGACTTTCAATTATAATAATAATAAAGTAATTTATATCAATAAAATGCATAAAGTATGTAAAAATAAAAATTAAATGGAACTTGTTTTAATCATCATTGTCCAGTCTTTTCTCAAAACCTCTGGTTTCATCTCTTAATTGTATATCTTGTATAGACTTTTTTTGTATTTGATATGCATATAATTATATATCAATATATCTTAATTGGCACGTCTTACATTCTGTGGGGAAGGGAGGGGGGAGAGTGGGAGCAGCTTGGACAAAGCACTAAAAGCATGAAGGTCAAAGTGGGGGCAGAGTCCTGAGAATGAGAACTGCCAACACTTAGCAGATCTACTTTGCTTTTTCACAAAAAGGCAAGGGCTAAGGAGCCTTTAATAATCTAATATTTATAGCATACAAAACAAAAACGTTTATTTCAAACATTGAAACTTGTAGCTTTGTTAGATGATTATGAAACACCCATTTAAAATAGTCATATACTCTGTATTTGTGAAAAGGAGACTAAGAAAAATTGATTCCACCCCAAGTTTTAAACTCTTGATGGGGTAAAAAAAAAAACCAAAAAAACAAAGAGGACACCTGCTATGCCACAGGCCTTTATGCTTTTGGAATCTCTAAGTTTTAATTTACATTTTGGTCTTAAAAAGTAGACTTTTAGAAATAAACAAGAAGAATGAAGATAGTCTTCTAAAAACCAATTAGTCAATAAAACTTCAGGTATGTTTTCTAGCCATCCCTCAAAAAAATAAAGTATTTTCTTTTGTCTAGACAACGTAAGCTGCTTCCTTCTCAGAAAGGGCACTTGGAAGCCCGGGCTCTGGCTCTCCATGCTCTTGCCACCGTGATTCCACAGAAACAGGGCTCTGTGTCCCCTCCATGCCCCAAATAGGGGACCCTTCAAGGTGGTGCTCCTGTCACTCTTGGGTCAGTGCCTTCACCAAACTTTGTTCTGAAAAGTGTTTGTTCTTGCATGTTTTTTTTTCACTTACCTTATGAAGTCTCATCCTCTTGATATCTGACAGCGACTTTGGGTATAGGTTCTCAGAAAGAGAAAGCAGCAAGCAGTGGTTAGGGAGGAGAGTTTCTGTGGAGCAGACAAGTTGAGGCTGAGTAATCTAACACAGAACATGCTAAGTTCAGGCCAGCCTCCTCTTACTAAAACTGAGAAGTCAATGGTAGTGTAATATCAGGCAGCTAAATGTTTGTACCATATCCATACATGGAGTAATGCAGCATTATGACTGCTGAATTTTCTTTAATTACAGAGTTCTGCTTTTTAAAAATATTTCATCTAACTAATAAAGACTTTTATAATAGTTTGTATTCTTGAGAAAGGGAAGCCTTCTACCTTTATGATATATTATCCAGGATACCTCAACACCCATAAAAGAAAATACCCCAATTAAAAAATGGGTGGAGGATCTAAACAGTCACTTCTCCAAAGAAGAAATTCAGATGGCCAACAGGCACAATGAAAGATGCTCCACATCGCTAATTATCAGGGAAATGCAAATTAAAACCACAATGAGATATCATCGCACACCACTTAGGATGGTCAATATCGAAAAGACAAGGATCAACAAATGCTGGCAAAGATGCAGAGAAAGGGGAACCCTCCTATATTGCTGGTGGGAATGTAAATTAGTTCAACCACTGTGAAAAGCAATAGGGAGGTTCCTCAAAAAACTAAAAATAGAAATACCATTTGATCCAGGAATTACACTCCTAGGAATTTACCCTAAGAATAACTTCTCAGATTCAAAAAGACATATGCACCCCTATGTTTATTGCAGCACTATTTACAATAACCAAGATATGGAAGCAACCTTATCAGTAGATGAATGGATAAAGAGGAGGTGGTACATATACACAATGGAATATTATTCAGCCATAAGGAAAAACAAATCCTACTATTTGCAACAACATGGATGGAGCTAGAGGGTATTATCCTCAATGAAATAACCCAGTCGGAGAAAGACAAGTACCAAATGATTTCCCTCATTTGTAGAGTATAACAAGAAAGCAAAACTGAAGGAACAAAACAGCAGCAGACTCACAGACTCCAAGAAGGGACTAGTAGTTACCAAAGGGGAGGGGTGTGGGAGGGCGGGTGGGGATTGAGGGGTATTATGATTAGCATATATGGTGTATGGGGGGGGGGCGTCACAGGGACGACAGTGTAGCACAGAGAAGACAAATGGTGACTCTGTGACATCTTACTACACTGATCGACAGTGACTTCAGTGGAGTATGGGGGGGACTTGATAATATGGGTGAATGTAGTAACCACAGTGTTTTTCATGTGAAACCTTCATAAGTGTGTATGTCAATGTTACCTTAATAAAAAATTATTAAAAAAAGAGTGTATATCATGACGCCTTAAAAAAAATAAAATATATTTTTAAAAAGATACATTATCCAGGCACCATTATATGTATCCTTTATTAAACATTGCTATTGTATCTTTTAAGTATTTTCAGGAAAGGATCATCTTCTATTTCTTTGCATTACTAATGATACTAACATTATGTGTTCCTAGGAAGTGAAGGCATGCCTGTATATGTCTTATGCTTATTTCTTCATCCACTCATCCATTATTCATTCATATAGTTTATTAGACATATACTGAGTTTCTCTTCTTCATGTCCTGAGAGTTAACCACAATTGAGACATAGTCTCTGCCTTTGATGAATTCACAAAATCTGGTTGAGATAAGAAAACTGAGCAAATAACTGAATACCACATGAGAGTTAGGATAATAGTTTATACAAAATATATTAGGCCCCAAATGAGGATTTGAGCCCTCTAACTGAAGTGGAAGAATTGATCAAAGAATATTTAACTGTTCTAAAGAGTAATGCATGGGCATTTTCCATGCAAGAACATGCAATCTCAGGTGGAGACCTAGCATATGCAAAGATCCAGAGGCACTAAAAGTAAAGCATGTTCTAGAAACTGTACTAATTCTATATTGATGGAGTGTAGAGGACCCTAATCAGGGATGAGGCTGAAATATTAACAAGATGATTTTTAATGTCAGGAGGCATTTCTCACACAGAATAAAAATAAATGACAAGCATATCCATGTAAAACTTCTTAAGAAATGTTTTAGTTAAAGATTGATCACTTTGAACAAAAATGTTAATGAAATGTATCAAGGTGTTTTCCATAATATAGTCCAATCCAGAAAAAACATGGATATAGCTGATTTCCACAATGGTGAATGCTCTAAGTGCTAACACATGAAGCAGAAATAGATCAAATACTAATCCCTTTTGAAAAAATTATGTTCACTTTATTTTCATTCACCATAATGACTTATATCTAACAGAAAATGACAGCAACTATAATGTTTGGCGCATAGCAGGCACTCATAAATAGGCATTGATGGAAGTACCACGTAAAACTGCATTTGGCAAATAAATGCTGTGGGTACTGACTTGGACATTTCCAGCTGGGCTTACTACTGCTCTGTTGGTACAAGAGTCTTTTTCCCTTGGGATCCCTGGAGTGGCATTCACTGAGTCTCTTCTTGGTGCCTCCTCGGAACTGCCTTTCATCTGTCCCACACAGAGCTGGAGGATGTATGGGAAAATGTCGTCTCTAGCTGTGTCTGGACAGGTTCGAAGGATATAGGCCTTGGTCATACAAACCAAATGAGCGTAGCTGCAGTTACCACCATCAATGGCAACTCCGAACGTGCAGATCAAAAAGGGGAAAGCAAGTAACTCCATGGGCTGCCACAATAAAAGGAGCCGAGAACTGTTTCCTCTGCACTCTGCTTTCTACCGTTTGGGTTGGAGAGTGATGAAGGTGGCGGAAGTGCAGGAGAGAGAAAAGGAGAGGCATTAAGCTGGGGATCCAGGAATCTCAGGCCACAGCCCACGCCGTTTCAAATGCTGAAAATGCCTCTCGACGACGCTCACTCCTGCCTCGACCTCACTCACCACTTCGGGGTTTGCTGCTGGCCACTCTGACTCCTTTACAGTCCTCTTTGGAATCCCTTTCCTGATACTCCTTCCATCTCCTTGTTCTAAAGTTATCCCCCTACTCGCTTTTCATCAAAATAGATCAAAGCACTTAGAAACTATGAGCTGGGTGGAACATTATAGACCATAAGACTCAAGCCCCTCATTTCACATTTGAAACAGTAGGCAGGAAAAGTCCAGCTTTTCATCCAAGACCGTATTTCTGGTGTGCAGCAGAGCACCTCAGTATCCTGACAATCCCCTCGCCAAGGCCAGGCCATCCACCGTTACCAGGTCGTCACTGCTCCTACCAGCTGGTCAGTGAATGGTTGCGGCTGCATGTAGGTGTCACACATGAGACCTGGACTCTGTCTTCTCCCCCACTAGCCCTTTCCAATAAATCACCAACTGGTATTGAGTCCGTGGCTCCTCATGCCCTGTGCTTTTGTTCCAGTTCCATCCACTCAGATACTTTCCATCCCAGACTCAGTCGTCTTGTCTTTCTATGAATTTATCTCTCAATTCCCTACAGCGTTCTTTCCGTCTTCTGAACTCATGACACCTCCCATCTGAACTATTTACTTTGCAAGCATGTATTTACTTCCTTGATTAAACTCTTGAATTGTGATTTGACTTATTTCTGTGTCTTTTCTTTTTGCCCAGAAGATAATCTTCTTGAGGGTAGAAATCACATATTGTTTCTGCATATACCCATTAACTGGGATCATACTGTGCAAAGGATAGAGATATTTGCACAAGGAACAGACCGTGGTAATAGAACGGATACTTTAGTGAAAGGAAGATTGCAATGGAAGATAAACATTTCTGGGTACAAGGCCTTCTACCATAACAGCCAGAAATGGACCTGGCAAAGGTGCAGAGACTCCTTGGCTCTAACCTGTGTTTGTAAATTAGATAAGAGGGAGGAGAAAGAGTTGTCACTCAGCTTATTCAAATTAGAGTGATATGCCTAACTTGCTGGTCTCTACAGATCTACCCACCTCCTCAATTCTAAGGGCAACAGTACATGCTGCCAGAATTTGGCACACCTACATTTACAGTGTTCTTCAAAATGTTTTCCTAGAATCACACTGCAAACCTAAGCAAACAACTTCATCATTCAGCCCCTTTCTTGACAAATCTTTGTCTTATTCTTGAGAAGATATGGGAGCATGGATTTTTGGTTTGTTTGCTTGCATTATGTCAAGACTGGAGAACCAAATGAAGTATTTCCAGGAAATAAATTTGGAACCCAGAATGCTTTCCCCCATTAACAGTACATGGAAAGTAGAGACTAAAACATAATTAGCTCTATAGTTGGGATACATTACAGGTAAAATAAATTTTACTAGTGAGACTGAGGACATACCTACAGCCATTTCAGTTTTATATATAGAAATTTGCATATAAAATTCTAGAATATCAAGTTACAAATAACTATTTGGAACAAAATCTGTCTATACATTAGGGACTGTTTGCAGTTACATGTTCTTGAACTCATTTTTTCTAAGTAGAATGTGGTTACATATCTGAGTGTACTTATAGTCTTTCCTTGATTGGTCCCATAAGAAGGGATAGAGCTTAACATCTCACCAATTTGCAATATCTTTGCAAAACCTATTTCCTTATGAAGAAATCAGCTACCATATAGTACTTAATACATGCTTGGACAGATTTCATTTCTATACATGAAAATTTTAAGTATTAAAATATTCCTTATAATTTAAGCTTTAGTTACTTATGTAAACTTCAAATAAAACAAAACTAACATCAGTTTAAATGATCTCAACTGGAAATAAATAATAGTATTCTTTAATAGTTTAATATCCTGCTCTTACCCAGAATTGCATCTTCTCTAAAAAGATGTCTAGTATACATTCTACACACCTCTCTATATAAAAGTACAACAAATAAGGATATTATTTGAACTCCACAAACTATTAAGCATCAATTACATGTAGGAACATGTACCATTCTAATGGCAGAGTCAGTTGAGTTTGAAGTAACAAGACTTTCTCTGCTCTCAACTTCATCATTTGCTAGGGTATATCTGATGTCTTTATTCACATTACTCAGACAGATTCTAGGCAAAAATTGTACTCAACTCTTTAGTGCAAAAATTCCAGATAGCATTATAATAGTAACATGGCCTAGAAGAAAGAGCTCAGTCTTTGGAA